GTGCGATTTTTATTTACTTTTTTGGAACTTCGCAAACTTGGTAAAAAATTTTTAGATTTGATGCATCTCCATTTGCATCCGTGCAGCTTTGTAAAGAATCAGTAAATAATTTAATGAATTATGGATGTCGAAAGTAGAGATTTTAAGCTTTAAAATGCTTTTTTGATCATTCCGATACGATCATTTTTGACGAAATTACACTCTCTTAAAATTTGCCTATTTTTAGTGATCAGAATGGGTGATGCTTTAATTTTGCTGTCGAATGTATATTAATAGAATAAAAAAATTTCGAATAAAAAAAATTGACGTAATGTCAGAAGTTCAATATTTTCTAAAAAAGAAAGAGATAAGTAATACTCATATAGAAATAATAAATTTATAGGTATAATGCGGAATGGTACAGAATGCCAATAGCGCAAAGAAAGCTCTTCATCATGATCATGATGAGAAGCAGAAGATCATTGAAAATAACCGCGGGTAATTTTGTTAACCTATCATACGTAAATTTCAATGCAGTAAGTAAAACTTGATCAATACATACAATTTTTTGACTAAACGTACAAATTTTTCTCTAATTTAATTTAAGGTCTTACGTGCATCATTATCATATTTTATGCTGCTACGATCCATACAATAAAAATTCCAAACGTAATAAATACAAAAAAATATCAAGAGACATTAACGTTCGTATTTATTAATAATTGATTAAGTTACTTTAAAAACATGTGTATTTTTTGGCTGTAAATGTATAAGCTGCAACCTTCCAGATATGAATTTTCTGTAATGAAATTAAATAAAGTTATAGCAGTATCATTTTATAACTCAGAATTTATTAATTTAATAAATAATCATTAATAAAAATATATAATAATAAAAATTGTGATTTTACAGATAATACTATTTATAGAAAAATATATCTGCATACAAAAAAAAAACGATTTTGCTAAAGTATTTAAAAATTTAACTAGATATAGATGTGAAAATAATTTTGTTTAATAAAATTATTTTCAGATCTGTATCTAGCTAAATTTTTAGATATTTCTGCAAAATTGTTCTTTCCATGCAATAAACTATTAGATGATATTAATTATATTTATATTCACATATTTAAAAAATATCTTTAATGTATACTTAATTAATATTTAATTAACATTTCAATGTATATATGTATATATGTTATTAGTAAATATCTCTATTATTAATTTCAAATTTAATTTTACTTTATATTTTAATTACTTTTTTATATGTATTTTTATTAAAAAAAAAAAATACATTTGCAGCGACTCACAAAATAATCTGTGTATATATAGGTATCTTAAAAATTTATACTATATATTTTGATTACTTTTTTTATGTTTTTAATTAATAAATATCTCACTATTGTAAATACAACAAATATCTTAATCGGAGTTTTCAAAAATTTATTATATTGAATAGCTTAAACTTTATTAATTATTATATTAAATAATCTATAAATATAATAGTTAACAAAAAAAGATAAAAAGTTTATGTTGACCTCAGAACAGCAACACGCAAAACATTGAAAAATAATAAATTTATAACGTCCGCATCCGTATTAATTTACCCGGGCTTGAAGTAAGAGTTTATCGTCACGATGGACGCGTCAAATTATCTCATCGCCGTACTGTCTCACTGTCAGAGTACGGTGAACCAAGATCGCCCTATTGCCAACCGTGTGCTCTCGTCTTTCATTTGCAAGCCTTTTTAGAAATGTTCAATATTGTAAGGCAATTACAAATTGATAATTAACAAATAATGCAACAAATACCTTTTGACTTTTCGAGATAATCTAAGAAATTTAGTGTAGTAAATCAATCATAGAGGAAATTTTAGTTTGTTTCTATAGTTTTGGGATTATCAATTTAGGGTGCCATTACATGAAGCGCAAAAACGCAGAAATATGGAAAACAAAATTAATTAGACTTTATAAAATTTCCGCATTTCCGTGTATTCTGGGCCGTCTGTTTTGATTGTCTTATATTACATGGAACATATTTTGAGCGGAAAAGCGGAACAGGGAATTATAATATAAAAAAATTAATTTTTAATGATTAAATTTATATTTATTAATTAAAATGCTTGTGTTCAACATATAAACTAAAAAATAAACATATTAAAAGAAATTGTAATGAATTAAGTAAACACAATTTTTAAAAATCTAAATGTCTATTTGTCACCATACCATTTCGCATATTTCCGCACAAACTATGCTACTTGTATTATAAGGAAAAACAACTCGCGGAACAAGTTTATTTTTCACAAAAAATCAATCAATCTGTCGTGAACGCGGATACAATGTATTCCTTCAAATTTCGGAGCTGATTGAAAAAGAAAATTTTTATATACTTTAGTTATTTTAAAAGGCTGTATAATCATGGATCCACAAACGTTATGTTATCTGAGAAAAATGGTTTGTTTGTACCAACAAGATGTATATGATTAAATAAATTTTGATGAAATCAAATAGAATTTCTGATCATAATAAGAAGATTCGATATTGTATTAGAACGTTTAATAGACTTTACTATACGGATTTGATTAATATTTTCTAGTTGGATCTACAAAATTTCTGATTATATTCAATAAACGTTTACCACAAGCAGTACGCTCCATCGCCACAAGATGAACATGATGGACGAATTCAATTTTTGTATTTAAGAATCACTACGGAATAGTATAAAAAATGCAGCATTACGAGATTTTTACCATTTCTTAAAGTGCGATGAAATATGAGAATAACCGAAAGATGTATTTTGATAGTACAATTTTTAGTTCTGTACCAAAATTAATTCAGAATCTTATATTTCTGGAAATTAATATGCGCTAAAGTGTATTAATATGAGAAATTCAGTCACACAACAAAAGAAATTTTGGTATATTTAACATGAACGAATTGTTCGATCAACAAAAACTTCTCGTATATTTAATAAGAAAAATGATTCGATTGACAAGAAATTCTGGTAGATTTAACAAGAAAAAATTAATCATATTTGTCTGGTGAATCCTACAAGAATTCTGATTCGGCGATTTTCAAACAGACATACTAGTTGACTTTAAAAGATTTCCTATTAATTCAATCAGATTCTTTTTTCAGAATAATTATTATGATTATTATGATGTATCTCTTGCAAGCAAGGGATGAATGGATGAGATATACTGAGATATAATGAAAAAAATTATTTCAATTTTATTTGTAACATGCGTTACAAGAAATTGCAAGAACACAAAAACGACCGTAAATTTGGGTACGGCCTACTTTTATCAAGGGAGGAAGACTTTTGCAAGATGCCAGCGACTTCTGGAGATGCGATTGCCAGATCCGGAAAAATATTTCAACTACCTCAAGAATGGTACTAACAATCTTCATCGAGTTACTCAATATTGTTGGATCTGTAAATCACTGATCAAAAAACAAAATGTAATTCGAAAACCAATCTCGGCCAAAAATCAGCCAAATATCAGTCAGAACGAGATTCATAGAGGCAATATGTCCAATATTTTATGTCCAATCTCTTTGTACACATATTTTTATAGAATATCTAAATCGTTAACATGCTATAGTTTGTTACCAGTTGAATTGAAGTCAGACATCATATTTATAAATACAAAATTACCTTTTTAAAAAAAGAGGTAAAAAAACGCCAAGTATACGCGTTCTCCGTACGAATATTACTGTTGAGATATATACGTATCAATTCGATACATTCGATGCTCGTTCTTTTGAGACACACTGTTCGGCGTGTGTGTGTACGATGAGCGTTTGTTTTTGTTGATTAACGACCGCATTCGATCTGATATGAC